GGCATACCCATGGAGGCGTATCAGTCTAAACGGCATCATAAATTATATATTTAATAAGATGCTGATGAAGATGAAAATACTCAAAACCGATATGAAAAGGAATGAAAAAAACACCTGAGCAATAGATGGCACTGATGGACAATAATGCTATACTTCAAATGAAGATTTTTTTGAATGTCTTTTTCTTCTCTAAGCAAACTAATAAAATAAAGATCATTCGGCTCAACTTCTGAGTCCTCAATAATATTATGTCAACGTCTACCCTCACAAAAAACTAGCCAGAACATCTCCGCCAATCGATAGATCTTGGTGCATGGCGGTATACAATCATCGCGTCTCGCAGATATTCTCCCAATTCGATACGACTCAAATTAATAAGACAAAGACAAAGATGCTCCCTCACAACCCACCGCTCTCCTTCTCGCCCGCACAACCACGCACCCGTCCGATAACTCAACAGACAGCATTACCCGTCCCAGCCGCTCATTGGCCCCGAAACGCGGATCCTCCTCAGACGCGCGTCCTCATTGGCCCGCCTCAGGGCGGGGGGAGGGCCAAGGCCTACCCCCCTCTCACTCGCCGGATCTCTTCTTCTTGTCATCGGTCAGTCGCTCACGAACCTCCGTAGAGCACGGAACACGAGAAAGGGCTGCATTTCGGGTGGTTTTGTTCGAAATCTGTGTTCTGTGACGGTCAAACAACACGACGATGTAGTGCGGTGGTGGTGCCACACGAGAGGACCCGAAGGTACTTGGCCGGTACCAAGAAAATGGTGACTTTAATGCCTTGCAACTATCTGAACGCACAAACTTCGAGGTGCACAATGATCGACAAAATGTGCGAGCCAAAGGTTAGAACGCTTAGAACCGATACGTTTCGTTTTTGTTGTTCCGTGCCGAAAAAACAAATGACTGTTGCCGCAGGTGGGCGGTAAATAATGTTCAAATTGTTCAACAGCAATCTTGAGAATCTTGATGCTATCGCATTGTTCTAGTCCTCCGAATGAAGAAGTTTCTTTGAAATATCTCCTTTGTTTGAGTTTATGACAACTGTGTGGCTGGAGACTGACACCGCCATATTGAAATTGATCTAGATCCATACTCCAGATACTATAGATAGTGTTCATTCATCTTATCTAACTCTATAATCTAGAATCTAGATTTGATGAATGAATGAGGTTTCTCATTCGCTGTTATTTTAGTGCTAAAGACCTGTTAAGCTATTCGGAGTCTATTAAAGATAAATGGAATATTTCAGTGTGGGTATCCATCATTGATTGAAACCTGACACCACAACGTTCTCTTTCCTTGTCTCACTCGATAATTCCATCTGAAAGCAGGCATACACATGGTGGTCGTTAGTAAAATTTATTACAGGGAAACGCAAAATTGAGTTTTTTTCTCCGTAAGAGAGCCACATTCCTTGTTCCCATAAAAAATGATTGAGTCGAATGAGAAATGAGTTAGTTAATTTTAATAGTCGACTTTCATTTATTAATTTAGACGTTCAAGAATATTTCTCAGATGATTCCTAAAACCAATTCAAACTATATACCTACATTTTTCATTAATTTGTTTATCATGTTAAATTAGTCTTCCTTCATCACCAAATTTTTTTACCAGTGTAGTTTTTGAACACTTATGTGAAAGTACCTACGATACTCAATGTTTGCATGATTCGATGCTACTTCTTATATAAGTATAATATTGTTAAATAAACAAATAGGTATAAAACTACCTATTTTGATATGCATATCGAGTATGATAATTATACAGGGTATCCGATACACGGATATACCTACTACCTTGAATGAGGTTTTCACATGTTTTATTTTTCAATTGGAACACATCCTAATATTTTTTCAATTTTCTGGACTTTCTCCACTGATCTGATTCTAAAAATATATCACACGAATGAGTTTATCCAAAGTCAATAGGATCGTCTTGAGCCGCACGTGCACTCACTTTAGAAGGAACTTCAAACCCGCCGACGCTGCGCGGTGCGGGATAATTGACTTTAGACACAGCTTTAGACACAGATTAACATAAGGTTTGTTAATCTGTGCTTTAGATATACATATACACCTAACTTCAAATTGGTACAGGGTGGGATGAGGAAAGATCGAGAGAAATTCCACTCAGGGAAAATTTGTACACTAATTCCCTTTTTGTGGTGTTAAAACGCCAATATTGCTCTTTGCTCGCTTATTGCTTACTGATGATTATTGTTGGCCCAATGTATGTACCTAATTGAGAAACGTAGTTTGAGTAGTTCAGCACATCAGTAATTTGATGTTGAACCCAAAGAGAAAATATCATTTTACTCATAATATTAGTATAATCGAAGTAGTTTTGGCCAATCTGCCATATTGTAATATATGGAATTGGTATCTAATTTTGTACTTATAATGGCATCTTTTTCCTTTTTTTTGTTTACTACGTATATTTTTGTGTGAGAATGTGAACAAACCACATTGGTATTCACTTTACTAAAATCTGAACATGACAATGGTAAATTCAAAATTAATTAATGAAATCATCCTGTAACTCATTTGTTTGCCAACATCTCCATTTGTCACTGAGGAGTGTCAAAACCTGTGGACAATTTGTGATAAAAATATTTTCCATTGATTATATTGAAAGCGAATCGTTCTTTTAGGCTCTCTGATAGGAAGATTTTTATACGCAGTGAAATTCTGGAGCATATTATCTGATTTTTCCTCACTACACGTAGGTACATACATTGGATAAAAGTTACTCAGATTTTTATTTTATAGAAACGAGGAGAGAAAATCCCAAAAAATCTGGAATAATAAACCACTTACCATCGAGATATCTCATGAAAAAGTTCGATATCGCAATCCAACTCAGGTTTCAGGTTAGAATCAATATGGCGCCTGGTTGGTACCTTATATAAAACCGATAGACTGATGTTACTAGAACGATTAAATAGTTACTGTTTGTGATTTTCTGTGATTATATGGCTTGTTCTTCAGATACCAACTGGAATTTGCGTTTAAAAACGATTTATCGCACATTAATTATTTCCGAGATATTTTTATTGTGTGCCAACCAGCACAGTTTGACACTCGGTTTGACAGGTCATTGGATTGCCTAATGTCATGTTCCTACTTATTTATTTATTTATTTATTTATTTATTTATTTATTTATTTATTTATTTATTTATTTATTTATTTAATGAAAATGGGATACAAACAGGCAGAAGCCCAAAACTGCATCCAACTATAGTTACACAGAATAATCTGATTCTTCATCAGTGTGAAACCAGCCACGAGTTCCAGCCACGACTTCGCCTAATATTCAAGGCGCACGCCATACCACCAATGGTCGTTCATTATCAATTTATTTTCATGGCTGGCCATGAAATTACTTAAACCTCCAAAATATGTCCATGGATGAAACTATTTTACATCAATGATTTTCTCTAAGGGTCTATGATAATCTGTATATCTCACAATATTTTGTCGGGAAAGAATTAACCCCACAGGCCCCCTTTTTCGGAATTTCTAAAAAAATTCATAACTTTTTCAAAATACACGTGGATGGGAGTTTTTTTCTATGAATGTGTTTCTCTGATAGTACTCAATAATATGTATATCTCACAATATTTTGTCGGGCAAGAATTAACCCCATAGGCCCCCTTTTTCGGGAATTCGAAAAAAATTCATAACTTTTTCAAAATACACGTGGATGGGAGTTTTTTTCTATGAATGTGTTCCTCTGATGGTACTCAATAATATGTATATCTCACAATATTTTGTCGGGAAAGAATTAACCCCACAGGCCCCCTTTTTCGGAATTTCTAAAAAAATTCATAACTTTTTCAAAATACACGTGGATGGGAGTTTTTTTCTATGAATGTGTTTCTCTGATAGTACTCAATAATATGTATATCTCACAATATTTTGTCGGGCAAGAATTAACCCCATAGGCCCCCTTTTTCGGAAATTCTAAAAAAATTCATACCTTTTTCAAAATACACGTGGATGAGAGTTTTTTTCTATGAATGTGTTTCTCTGATGGTACTCAATAATATGTATATGTCACAATATTTTGTCGGGCAAGAATTAACCCCATAGGCCCCCTTTTTCGGAATTTCGAAAAAAATTCATAACTTTTTCAAAATACACGTGGATGGGAGTTTTTTTCTATGAATTCATGCCTCTGATGGTACTCAAAAATATGTATATCTCACAATATTTTGTCGGGCAAGAATCAACCCCATTGGCCCCCTTTTTCGGAAATTCGAAAAAAATTCATAACTTTTTCAAAATATACGTGGATGGGAGTTTTTTTCTATGAATGTGTTCCTCTGATGGTACTCAATAATATGTATATCTCACAATATTTTGTCGGGCAAGAATTAACCCCACGGGCCCCCTTTTTCGGAATTTCGAAAAAAATTCATAACTTTTTCAAAATACACGTGGATGGGAGTTTTTTTCTATGAATGCATGCCTCTGATGGTACTCAATGATATGTATATCTCACAATATTTTGTCGGGCAAGAATTAACCCCATAGGCCCCCTTTTTCGGAATTTCTAAAAAAATTCATAACTTTTTCAAAATACACGTGGATGGGAGTTTTTTTCTATGAATGTGATTCTCTGATAGTACTCAATAATATGTATCTCTCACAATATTTTGTCGGGCAAGAATTAACCCCATAGGCCCCCTTTTTCGGAAATTCGAAAAAAATTCATAACTTTTTCAAAATACACGTGGATGGGAGTTTTTTTCTATGAATGTGTTCCTCTGATGGTACTCAATAATATGTATATCTCACAATATTTTGTCGGGCAAGAATTAACCCCACAGGCCCCCTTTTTCGGAATTTCGAAAAAAATTCATAACTTTTTCAAAATACACGTGGATGAGAGTTTTTTTCTATGAATGCATGCCTCTGATGGTACTCAATAATATGTATATCTCACAATATTTTTTCGGGCAAGAATTAACCCCACAGGCCCCCTTTTTCGGAATTTCGAAAAAAATTCATAACTTTTTCAAAATACACGTGGATGGGAGTTTTTTTCTATGAATGCATGCCTCTGATGGTACTCAATGATATGTATATCTCACAATATTTTGTCGGGCAAGAATTAACCCCACAGGCCCCCTTTTTCGGAATTTCGAAAAAAATTCATAACTTTTTCAAAATACACGTGGATGGGAGTTTTTTTCTATGCATGCATGCCTCTGATGGTACTCAATGATATGTATATCTCACAATATTTTGTCGGGCAAGAATTAACCCCATAGGCCCCCCTTTTTCGGAAATTCGAAAAAAATTCATAACTTTTTCAAAATACACGTGGATGGGAGTTTTTTTCTATGAATGCATGCCTCTGATGGTACTCAATGATATGTATATCTCACAATATTTTGTCGGGCAAGAATTAACCCCACAGGCCCCCTTTTTCGGAATTTCGAAAAAAATTCATAACTTTTTCAAAATACACGTGGATGGGAGTTTTTTTCTATGAATGCATGCCTCTGATGGTACTCAATGATATGTATATCTCACAATATTTTGTCGGGCAAGAATTAACCCCACAGGCCCCCTTTTTCGGAATTTCGAAAAAAATTCATAACTTTTTCAAAAT